GCCAACTGCCAAACAGTTGGCACTGTGCAGAACTCGGAAGCCATTCCAACGATTATGAATAATTTTTCTCTCTCTCTCCCCCAGCGATTTTCCACCCTTTTTTTTAGCCTCGCTTGTTTTTTCTAGCCTCTTTTTTATATGCTATATTTTTTGCAATATGAAAATGCATAAATTGAAAATGAAACTTGAACTTTATGCAGCTAATTGAAGGCCTGGCAATTTGAAAAACTGTTTGGGTCAGCATTGAATTGATAGATGGTCGAGGGGATGGGGTTTTTTTCTGGGTTGAATTGGGGGCCCATTGATGGGTCTGCTTATGGCTCTGGCTCTGGCTCTGTCTGTTTATGGCTGTGGGGGTCTATCGTTGGGTCGACGGGTAATAGTTATGGGTTCTGGGGAATAAAATTCAATTTGACTCTTGGCTGCCATTAAATGAAAAAGGATCAGAGAGAACAACAGCGGGGGTAAATCGAGTAGTCTCTGTTGTGGGTGTTGATTCAATTGCAGTAAAAATTTGGCTGCATTCAATGATTTTTCGGGGGCACAACCGATTTCCAGGGCAATTTAAAAGCGAAAACACACGCACAGAAAATCGAGTGGAACGCCGAGGCAATTAACATTGATGGAAGGCACTGAAATGGGTGGATACACCCCGAATCGAGGATTGGAGGAGCTGGAATGAAAGTCAATAAAATGCACCAGCAATTGCAAATGTCGAGACTTCAATCAATGTGTCTGATATTAAATTGGAGAACCATAGTCAAATGGGTTGCCTTCGTACTTAAGGGATTTTCGAATAAAAAAAAAATAAAAGTTTTTGCATTGATACATTTCTCTTGGCACTTTATTCTCACTTTGACTTACTTTTGTTTTGTTTGTTAATCGTCACAAATTTTTCAGTTTATTCCCTTTGACGAACGATTATCAAATTTCACTCCGAACACAATAACACTTTTTCACATACTAAATCAAACGAGAAATGCTTTTTAGTTTGTATGAAATTTCAGGCAAAGATTGCTGCTCTACAAAAATCATGAAAAATGTGTCTGACATTTTAACAACATAAAATCATACGTAACTAGAGAAGATTGTCATTTGATTTGGCAGCATAAATCGAATTTAATTGCTTTGAATTTGGGTCATTTATGGACTAGAAAAAGTCAAGTATTAATCTCTTTTTTTGTACAGAATGTTGCTTTTATGGAATGCTTTTTCAATGAGGGTTCCTCTGAGCTTACTGACCTTAAGTCGGGTGGATATTTATGAGAAACGTATAATGTTTTAAGAAAATATCCTGATTTCTCTAATTCCTCCTTAAAAGCTATTTTTCCTTTCCTTGCTTCCGTGACCTAAACTTTGAGAGAGTATTTGATTCATTTGATTCGTTTATGTGCGAAAATCTCTTAGGACGAACAATAATTTGCATTGTTTTTAAAGGAAGAGCCTCCCGGCGCCAACAGGTTCCAGCTCAGGTTTCTTTCCTGTTCCTGTTATTAAAATTAGTAAAAAATGTTAAGCAACCATTTCAAACAAAAATGTACACACAGGCTTTCGGGTACAATATTCTTGCTGCATAGTCTCCAGTCTGTCGTAGGTGGTAAGTGTCTGGTTCTTGCTATTCATTCACTTTCGATGTTCAACTCATTGTATTGGGCATTTGGCTTGTTTCTTTCCAAGTTCTCCACTTGAGGCTATAACATTGCAGTTCGCATCCAATCCTCTGAAGAAGTGGCTTTCGATGTTCCCCGCATAAGTTAGAGCCGATCTTTTAGTATTATCCATTTCTTAACATTCTAAAACACTTTTGACTTAAATTAAGTTACAGAAGTATGATTGTCTCAAGTATGATTGAGACGCTGTTTATTCCCTTTTCTTGAGCATAGCAAGAATTGAGGTCTACCAGATGCCGGAGAAGGTGTAGTCATAGTCGGAGTTCTTCTCTCTCTCTAGGCGGGAAAATGTGAGTAGCTGATCTGTGGATATAGGAAACTGAAGCAAAAACTGAATTCATAATAAAATTAAATATGAAACAATATTTAATCAGAAATTTGTTCAAGCTCCAGGTCGCTCTAAGAAAATACACAAGAAATCTGATACCCTCTCAAAACCAAAAGATTTTATGCAGGCTATTCATATGACTTTAGTGTATGGTTTTCATCCGTTTCGTTTACGAGAATGTAATTTACGAATGAACTGTTTCTTGTTTTTTGGTTGTCGAAAAAGCTTCGAATATTTCCCAATTTAAGCATGAATTTCATTTTCGGCAACAGAAAGAATCCTTCATTTTGCATGCCATGCAAATATCCTATCCAGTGGACCTTATATGGAAGCAATAAGCGAGAGGCTCGACCTGAAATGCTGCTGCTGGCACGGAAAAAATACATGTGTTGCACACCTAAGCCAAACAAGGACTCGCAAAGGATGTGCGTTTTGTGTGTGCACCTTTAGCACACATTATATGTACATACCGTAAGAGTACTCCGGTCGGGGTATGAGGAGGGGTGAAAGGTGAGTGAGTGCTTGGAAAAGGAAGATTTATGTTCGATAAGTAACTCAAATCACGTTCGGTAAATGCTTGCAAAATGTTGCAACAAAAATAAATTCCTACTACCTCTCTAGCTCTCTCTCTCTCTCTCTCTGGATGCAACGAAAACCCTTCTGGCATCTGCCGATGTCTATGTCGATGCAAATCTTTTATTGACAGCACGTTTCTCCCGTAGACAGACATTTTGTACACGTTTCTCAGAGAGGGGGAGCCTTCTTCCGTTCCTCCCGTTTCTCATGGGTAAAAATGCTATTATAAAAGAATTTCCCTTAAAATAGTACATATATGTAGTGCAATTTAATTGGTTTCATTTCGTGGGTAAAACGACTTGCTTGCCTCGCAATTTGTGGCAATTTTCGTTACACAATTTATTTGCAGGTTTTTATTCCACCGTAACCTCATTCTAGTGTGAAAAAGTAATATTTTTTCTCTCAACGGATTTATTGTTTTTGATTGACTTTTACCAGTAGCGTTTTTATGGCTATAGAATCATATAAAACCTGAATTGATTGATTGATTCAGGTTCTCGCGCACACAGTCATTCACATTCACGTTCCCATTCCTTCCTTCCGTTTCAAGTGCTTCCTTCCAGCTTTTATGTTTGTGGCTTTTATGGCAGCAGCTCCGCTCCGTAATAAACGAAGTCTTGGCCTCATGTCATTACAATTAATTTTCATTTAATGTTACGGCCGTGTAGGCAGTCAGCCTCCTTCTTGATGGCGTCAACAAATCTGTTTCGCTTGGTCTTAATCGTAAAATAAATATAAATAGCAATGGAAAAACAAAAACATATTTACTTAACGACAACAGTTGTCAGGGTGGCAAAAGAGAGGGGGACTTGGCTCAGGAGCAGGATATCTCACTTTAGGTGTTGAGTATTTTGCTTCGTTTTTCACTTGTTGCCAGATTTTAGACGAGAAATCATAATTGAAAATTGATTAACGAACAATTGGATGACAATTTAATGAATCTTAAATAAATATTAAGGAAAATCTAATAAGTTCTATGAATATGAAAAATCATTCCTGTAGTGCTTAGTCGTATAGATGTACAAAAAGAGTAAGAGAAACAGGAGTCAGCCTCTACTGAGAAATTATTTTCCAATTGTTTGGTAATACATTCGAACGATAAAAGACATTCCGCTAGATATTTACACTGTTCAAGAGTCTTTTCTTTCTGAAATACCACATATTTTATAGTTTTAGGCTTAATTGAAGATTTTCCTTTCCTTTCTTGTGTGTTGTTCACTCGCCGTTTCTACCAGAAAATCCAATGAAGAGTGAGCGAGTACAAAAATCCGAAATTTTCGGCCCAAGATAGTTAAATGGCAATACCTGCTTCATTCAGTCCGTTTTGAGCAAGCGTTTTTATGGAATAAGAGATCTGGGACGCTGATTCTAACTGACCGAACAAATGCAGGGCTCTAATACATATCTGTAAGTCTTTGAATAGTACAGAATAATGACTAAATACAGATATCTGTGTTTAAAACGCTTCATACTGCCTCTACTTCTCTACCAGAACAGTGTATAAACTTTGAACTCTTCTTAAAAACATTTTCCCATATCCAGATAACTAGAAATAGGCAAAATCTTATTTTTCTTCACGGATTAATGCACTTAAATGACACTCGGCGTGCGAAAAAACATAAACAATAGGAGACATTCGTAGAGGATAAAGCGTTATCCATGGCAGCCATACATTTTGATATATGGATAAATATCGCAGTATAAAATGCCATTAAGCAAATATTTTGGAGCGTATTGGTGCGCTCTTTTTGCAGCTATTCTGCAGCTGAAAACTAGAACAAACACACAGCTGACAACAATTTGCTTTTGGCTGGTTAGCCAGCGTCCCGCGAGAGTTGGGCCATAAAAATATGCATATGGAAGAGTTAAAGCAGCAGACGCACACAATTTGCAGGCAGTGTGGCGTGAAATTTAATTTTTCAACTCCCATAAAATTGTGATAACATTTGCGGCTTTCGGGGAGAGTCCAGTAGCAATATTTATTCGTCATGTTGCAAGTGGAATGCCCATCAATTGCAACTCAATCGTGCCGCATACAAGTCGCCAACAATCAATGAAATTTTTGCAGTGGCTCGTTAGGCTCAAAAGAGGATACTGGACACAGGAGACTGGTATACATATATATTATCTTTTAGCTCTTCATTCAGTTATCAACTTAATAGATTATTAACTTATAGCAAAATGGAGTCAATCATTCGACCACAAATACTGATTGTCCATTACGCATTTACATCAGCTTCGATTCTTCTTCGCGCATTCGAGTACGAGCCATTTATTTAATACTCCGCTCATCCGAAAGTGCTGATTGGTACTATGGATATGGAATGTGCCTATGGATTATGAGTCAGTCGGGTACCATTGTTCAACCATTGAAAGGGTTGCAGTTTGTTCATAATTTTATCACGTAAATTCTTTAGTTTAATGTTTATTCATAGGAACTATTAAAATTTAGAACTCAACTTCAAAATTAATGTTTTTTTAGGTTAAAAATCCACCAATGGTAACGCCTGTTGAGCTTCCTCTTCGATCTCCATTTCAAGATCATCTTTATGTTCGATCTCCATCTCAAGATCTTCTTTATCTTCGTTTTCCACCTCCTGTATCATCGTGAGGTGCGGACGCACTATGGCACAATATTTGAAACGCTCGCCAATCAGCTGATAGAAGAGACTGAGAAAAGGCTCCTCGCAGCAGTAGTTGTTCTTCACCGAAATATCAAAGTACTGAAACTCCCAATGGTGAACTTTATGGCCTTTGAACACCTTGCGATCCTTGATGATCTCTGCCTTGTTGCCGCACAGAACAATGGGTATGCGGCCGCAGGTGGCCAATATTTCGCGATGCCAGTAGGCAACCCTGCTGTAGCTCGAGGGTGAGGTCACATCGAACATAATGATGGCACAGTGGCTGCCAGTGTAGTATATGTCGCGAAGGCCCGCGTACTTATCCTGTCCAGCAGTGTCCCAAACACTGAAGCAGACAGGTCCTCGTTTTGTCTGGAACTCTAGATCCTTAACCTCGTGTCCTACGGTGGGCCTATAGAACTCATCAAAAGTGCCCTTGAGATGGCGTCTTATCAATGAGGTTTTGCCCGTTTGACCATCGCCCACGAGGACCAACTTAAATGTGTCCTTGAACATTGTTTGAGGATTATCAAGGTAGCAGAAATATTGTAGAGAAGTTGTATTTGGCTTGTAGATTTTTTGAGTAGTATTTGACGCAGAGCTAGGACAAGCCTTCAAAGGGGCTCTTCGATGTATGATTCTGTCGGCATACCCCAACTCTTCTCTGGTCTTCAGCGCATAATTGGTTTGACGGAAAACAACAGCATCATCAGCAGCAGCAGCAGGGCATCAACGTTGTTGTTTGAGACTGAGATTCTTCTATGGGGGCGGCTGCTGTTGTGGACGCGGCATCGCTTTGGTCATCATTTTGATGAGTCCTGACTCTTGCCAATTAACGTTGCCAAAGAGGAGAGCTTGTGTGTGCCACATTACGCATACGCCGCACTGCCGCTGCAAAACCGTGCAATTTTCTGATGGATTGAAGATGGTAGAACTTTAGCAATTGAGAGTGCAATGTTGCATCAAAAAAGGGAATAATTTTCCCCCTTTAATCGGGTGCCACACTTTCCCTTTGTTGCCACTCTGCCTTCCCCCAAAGCGAGCGGCGCGGCACGGCGCTTTTGGTGGCCTTATTAAGTTGGCGCCTCGATGCTTCTTCCATCTCTAGGCGAAAACTTTTTCTGCATGCCAACGATATTGCCTTGCCTCCTATTTTTTTGGCATCGTCATCATTGCAACTTCATTGTCAAAGTTTTAGGGGCGATGCAAAGTAGGAAAAACTGCAAAAGAAATGCTCGAAAAAAAGAGAAGAAAAGCGTTGGGCAAATAGAGAGAACGTCGCTCCTACTGTAGTCTGCCATTTCGGTTTGGGTGGGCGCTAATTATATGTAAATATCTGCCACATCTGAAGTGGGATTGAAGGTGCCACCAGATAATTGGCCCTCTCGCCTGAGAGGCCCAAAGGGCCGCCAGTTGAGACAGTTGAGAGACAGTAAGTGATCAAGGGAATAAGCTGTTCTGTGCGGAAAGGAAAAGCGGAAAAGTTGTCAAAGCATGACAGGATTTCACTTGGCAATCTCCCTCTCAGCTATGCAACATTTCCACTTCCACTTCCAGTTTTTTCGCCACTAAAAGAATGAACTTCCGACAACTTGAGACATTTAAAGGCTCCTCCAAAATGAAAGAAAATATTTTTAGGCTCCATGCTAGAAATTCGCCATTCCCTGGCCCCAACTTGTTCATCTAATTCTTTCGAAACTTCATCAAATGCAATGGCAATTAGTAGCTCTCAAATGCTGAATAAATTCCTATGCATTTAAGTCATTAGTGCGGAGAAATTTCATTACACTTTTCTCCCAGGAGAGCTAAGCATTTAAAAATTTACCAAAAAAAGAGAGCGTACAAAATGACAAAATAAACGACATGTTTTGGAGCGGTTGGGGGTTGCTGGTCGGTGGTTGGGGGATATAGAAGTACTGGAGGAGGACATGAGCGACAGACAGACCAACCAACACGTACAAAACGCATAAACATTCTTGCCTAAGTGAGTTTGTACATAAATTTTGGACCGAACTTGCGTTGCAGGATGCGTTACAAGGAGATGTGTGTTTGGGTTCTTTTCGGGGCGTAAAAGGAGGAGGTGGAGGTGGAGGTGGGAAGGCTGCCAACTTACGCAGTGAAATCCATTGGTAGCAAAGTGCGGGGGCCTGAGTGTGTCTCGGTTTCGTCTTTTATTTATGTAGCCACACACACACACACACACACACACACACACACACACACACACACAGGCAAATGCAGCAGCAACCGGACTTTGTGGATGGATATCCCCACATCCACATCTCTCTCTATCTAGCGCCTTCTATGTATTTCTCACTTGTAGTCAAGTTTTTGTTCATTTCCAGATGGTTGCCTGGTTGATTGGTGATAGGAATCATACTTGAAAGTTTCACCAAGGCCCAGAGTCGTTTAAATCTTGATTAAGCGAAGACCTTTTCGAAGCAATTTACAAAAGTATTCGGATATCGGAATGCTAAGATCTCCTGGATATTTCTTTTCTAATCGAATAAAACAATGGAAAGCAAAATATGTATTTGATTATTTCCAAAACAAATTGTACATTTCGATACGAGATTTTTCGGGAATCTCCCCTGTCCTCCGCCGTGATTATTCCCTAGTTTTGTCCACGAAAGTGTGGGGGATCATGGGGAGAATGGTTCGATAAGTGATTGGAATGATGCGGCTTATGATGCGATGGCATATGCCGGACATGGTGTTGCACGTTGCTTTGAGGCATACCGTTATGTGCATTGCCCGAGATGAGCACCACGAAATATCCAAAATAAAGCAAGACAAAAAGGTAAAGGAAATCCATCTCAGCAGCTTGGTCCAGCCAGAAGCAAACAACAAGTGTTCGAAGGGATGGCTTCCACATCGAAACTTTGATGCGGAACTAAATGAATTCGTTTGGGTTTGAATTTGTGGTGTAAATTATAATTTCAAGGTAATCAAGCTGCTAGAGTCTTCTGAAAATGCATCAAATATTGGGAAACCACGGCTATGATATTCTTTGCCATATAAACAACGCACCCACATCATTATCCCTTAGATTTAAACCTCAAAGAAAGTCCTCATTGAATGCTTGAAACGGCTTTGGTCAGGATTCTGATAGAATTAACGTTTTTCATGGTCGTTTTGTGTGTCATTTGAGTGAATAATTTGCATGAATAATGAGATTTCGGTGGAATTCATGGAGATATCATTGGCTGTTTGCATTATGCAAGTAGAGTCCTTAGAGGGCACGCACACACATACACTCGAACACTCAAAACACTCGTAGGGAAAGCAGCAACTTTTGTACCATATTTTATGGCTGGGCGACTTAAGAGAGTGGACCGCTAAAGAGCAATCGCCGGGGCCAAGAGAGCGAAACAAGTACCAAAGAGACAGCAACAGAGAGGGAGCGCGAGCGAGCGAGAGAGTGTGTGTAACATTACTGACCTACATTAAGTAAAAATTTATTTATGCCGGCTGCCAAATTGGTTCCCCAAAGTATTGGCAGTCCGTCTCCGTCCTCGACCCCCTCGTCTATATCAGCCACATCCTCTCTTTTATTCCCGGTACTACCATGACGGATATGATTGCTGGGTTGGTGGACACTTCTAGTCCTTGTTGCTATTACTGCCGCTGTTGTTGTGGCTATTGTTGTTGCTGTTGCTGGCTTTAATAATAATGGCTTGTAATTTGCATAAATAATGTTTGATTTCGGCACTGATGAGAGGCCATAAGAGTTCTGTGTGTGTGTGTGTGTGTGTTTGTGTGTGGCACCATAAATGATTGAATGCTCTCTGGTCGAAATTTCAGATGTAATTTTTTTGCATATAAATCGATAAATTAGTACATCTATAAATCATTATCGATTAAACTTTGCTTTTTAAAGGATATCCATAAACACTAGGCTTACCATCTACAAAGATTGCTGGTTTTGTTTGTTGATTGCTTAGTAGTCAAGCTGTTATTTATTTTAAAATGCAGCTAAATATTAATTTAGTGCCTCCTTAGCCCCTTCCTTAGATATAGTTCACCCCTTCTTAGTAATAGTACAAGTAAGTGCCTGCCTCCATGCAATAACATGTGGTTCGCCCGCAGTTCATTGCGATTCCCCCATCTAACAGACAAGTGTTACTGTTCGACCCACTGTTAATCTCTTACAGGCATTCAAGCCACTGTTAAGCTCTCTTCGAGTGGCGTATCTGTACTCTCTTTGCTGTTAAGCTTCGTGCAAAAACGCATGCTTCGTCTTCTTTCGCCTCGTGCGACTCCAATGTTTGAAGCCAACTTCGTGGCTCTCTTCGGTTTCCGACCGACACGGTCTTCGGTCCTGCCAGCAGCCGAGCCACGATTATGGGCGCCCCAACGATGACTTTGTGTAATCAGTGCGTGCTGCTAAGTAAATTAGTTAGTATGATTTTAGCACGCAACGCTGACGGACGTTCTGCTGCTCGCAACAGTTAAACGAAGAAGAACGCGTGTGCGCTTCGTGATAATTCATCGGTGTCTACTGTGGGAGGAAGTACGCGCTCGAGTGTCGCTGGGATTCAATTTCAATACAAAGTGCCGCTGTTCCGCGTGTTAATGGTGTCGGAAAACATTTAACAGTCAGTGTTCTTGAAAAGCATGCAACAACATATTGCAGCTCGTACGTAAGAAGATATAGCCCTCGTAAAAGAACAAATAAATACAGTGACAATTCAGTGGAACAGCCGGTGATATCTGGTGATTTCTCTTTAAACTCCATCTTTGATGTCTGCAGAGTGAAAACTATCTTGCCTTGGATCTCTCACAACTCTTAAGTCCTCAAGTGGGTATAGTCCCTGGAGCCAGAACGAAAATATAGAAACTGTGCAGTGAGAGTTGTCTTCACTGCCTTTCAATCTACTTTCAATATATGTATACTGCTTCAATCATTTCATTTAGGCGACCAACTCCCTTATGTCAACATTTCGGCTGTGATCAACTTTTTGAAGGAAGTTCTTCAGTGCAGGAGTGTCTCCTCTCCTCTCTCTGCCACATCTCCACCAATCCCTCGTATGGGGCTTCCCAGTCGTGGTGCGTCTTAGTGAACTTTGACTATGAATACCAACTCAAATAAAACTTAAATCCCAGTTTGAAGGCAGTCCAGTGCCAGCCTCAATTTCGTACCTCATTTTTCACAGAACGCTTAACGCAAATTGTGCCGAGTCCCCGCTGCTCCTTTGTGCTCCATTCTCTGGTGCTTTTTCCAAGCCAACTCTCGCTTTTCCCCTTGTATTTTTTTGCTGTGGAAAACTTAGCGCTCCATGGCTGTTTACCCTTGCAGCTGCAATGGCAACGGCAGTTGGAGCTCCAGCTCAAGCTCCAGTCGTGCTCCAGTCGCTTTCCCCATGCTGATTGCATTTTGGGGCGGTGGTGGTGGCTCCAGTCGAGCGTGGCTCATTATAGGGCTGACAGTACTTTCCCCCAGAACAAAACCAACAAAAACCAAAAAAAAACGAGGGGGAACGTTGTGAGTTGCTGCGGACACCGCAACTCTACGGTTATACCCGATACTAAGTCAGTATGGCTCTCCTCCGGCAGACGCCGCTAATATTTAACGACACGACAAAGAGTGCGT